ATTTGACGGAAAAATTTAAGTATTTATTAGAATTCAAGGCTAAAATACTCTAACCATGTTACAAAGGTACAAATCATACTAATCCTAGATCCCAAGTCTCAAGACGGATGAAGAAGTAAAAAAAAAGGGGGTACAAGAGCAGAAAGTTTTTGTGGCATGATGCCAAGGCATCTTTGTACAAAAGTCACAACTCTAAAGTCACAATAAAGTCCCTAAAAAAGTCAAATACAAGCTACGAATAAGAAGGTTCCTAGAGGTTCGATGTAAAGCATTCGGAGACTTTGAAAAGCACGAGAGTTTTTAGCCATTTCATAATTACGCAAGGTTCGAAAGATGCCTTAGTAATCTCTAGTAGCTTCGTCACTTGCCCACCTATTGATCCATTTGAGCTCCGAACGCCCTACTACATCCAAACAGTTTTTTTATAGACATATTCAAAATGTATGGCATAAAGAGATTCCCAATAAAATTAGTCACGAAAGAAACACAAATTTGGTGGCTGAAATCATCCAAAGAGGGTATAAGCATGTAATTAACAAACTTCAAAGGAGAATGAACAAAGAAGGCTATCAAATCATACCATGCTGATAGATTTATGGAAAAGAGCTGCGATTTCGGGTTTCTCTGTTAATTCTGGGACCAAACTCCTGAAGTTAGGAAAGATTGCCAGCAAATTAGTGGACTAGAGTGCAATGGAGTAATGGAGCTTGTGTGTGATGTGCAACTCATGATGAAAAGTGTAGATTCAAGCATCCCTTCATACATTCACTCGTTTTCTTCTTAACACCAACCTCGTCCTCGCCGTCCCACCAAAGCTTCCCCCTTTCGACCATCATTTTCCATAGCTTCTAACATGAACAATCACAAGGAAATTCGTTATTTCCAAGTCACACGGAGGTAGCATTACCCAGAATTAAAAGCAACCCAAATATCAAGCACAAACACGACAATCTTAAAATGGAAGATCACACATAATGCCAAGACAACAATCAATGTGAATCCAAACCATCATATGCCAAGTTAATAGCAGTAAGAATTCACAGCATTCAACACAAAATCAATACAGTTCTTGGCAGAATCAAGGAAGCATATACCTCACAGGGTGTTAGTAACCATTACGAAAGAAGATCGATCTAAAGATAACAACATCAAAAAAAAATGACGACAAACAACCCCAAGTCAAAGCAATTGCGATGCTACTTCCATTTTGGATGCTAACTTGTTTCGCCATGACTCATGCATTAATAAAGCTTAATTTGGATTAGATTTATTGAACATATCAATAACTAAAGTCATCGGGAAAATGCCTACAAGTTCTAGACATGGGAAAGAAACGATAAATCATGAATAACCTATAGTAACCTGTGATTGTCATATAGAGAGCTCATCACATCTTACCGCCAAAGCTTATACACACACGACAAGCAATGAATTTCGTGATCAAGCGACCGTATGTTAAGTTGTCTCTCACAAGTATTTTCAAACTAGCCAAAGCATGGTTAAATCATTCAAGAAACTCCATTTTGGAAGCAAATTAGAACCAACGTTCGATGTAGTAATGACAAGAAGCTGACAATCCTTTACTTCCAAACATAACCATACACCATCAAAGAACCAATTCAATCCTTTTCAAAACCATCCTCGAACACAATCAAGCACATTAAGTAAAAATCATGGACAATTTTGATTCTTTCCGAAACAATTTTGGATAGGTTTAATGGGATCTCGTTCACAATGGCATATAAAAGGAGGGAAGGCAAACACTATGGAAGGGGGGGAGCTCTCATATACACATATCATAACCACCTAACTCGGTTTTCAAAAGTCAAGAGCAGTAACACAAACAATATGACAATAAAACAATAGTGAAGAGGCACGAAAAGAAAGGATTCTGGCATTCAAGAATCCCTAGTATTCTAATACAGAAGGAGAAAGAAGGGATAGGGCCTTATCTGTGTCGTCGGAGGCACCTCCCTCAGGTAACAGTTTCTTCTAAACCTTCCCTTTGTTGGCTTGGGTTTGTGTTCACTGTTTTATAACTGAGTTTATGCCTCCCTTGAACTATTGTTGCTTGCGTTTGAATTTCTGGTTTTTTTTTGTTAGGGTTATGTTGTTAGAGATTGTGATTACCCGGTTTCTTATGCGCTTTTGCGGGATCTGTTGGTAGATTCACGTTTAGGGTGCTTTATTTAGGGTAGGAGGCGGATTTTGGTCGTGTTCTGGACGATCTATAATGGCTCCACCGCGATATCTTTTTCCCCCACTGTGAGCTTCATCTCCCTTGATGTGGTGTTCTCCATTCGTCACTGTGCTAAATCGTTTGGTGGATTTTGTTCCCTTCCCTGGTGTTTGTTCGTGATGCGGGAAGGAATATTACGAGGAGAGAGAGAGAGAGAGGGACGCACGTTGAGAGTTGGAGAGCACCTCTTATTTATATTTTTTAAGTCTATGTTGCTATTTGATCCCACGCACGCACCCCTACCAGACCCTAGCTTATGTCCTCATCTCCTGTGTCTGATCAGGGTTAATCGTTGACTCGTTTCAATCAAACGGCTCCTGCTGAGAGTGGACTGTGGGTCTACAGCGGACCCTTCCTCTTGGGCTGCCCTCTTTTGCTTTTGCTTTGTTTATTTTATTTATTTATTTTTTAAAATCTTTTCTTTTCTAATAATTTATTCTTTAAGGATTAAGTTTTATTTAGTCATTTCATATAATTTAACATATTTGATCTATTTTGTAGTAAAAATAAGTTGGCTTGTGAAGTTTTATTAAATATTAATTAAATTTGGAATTTGAATTTTATAATTACTCTTCTAAAAATTTTAATCACGTATTTACGGCCATCATTTCGTTTTACACTGTCTATTTAACCAAAAATTTGTGTTGGTTAATATTGATGACTATTTGAACCCTTTCAATTGGAGAACCTTATTCATAATCATATCAATTTTTCCCATACCTTTACGTGATTGGATATTCTTAACTGATATCTGCGCTTGACTTAATATCTCATAATACGTCCTTTCCAAAATTGGTTAGACTGCATGCCTTGCAAGTTAAATCTTTAAACTATAAATGTGACACTTGAGTGTTCTATCAGGTAATATATTTGCATGTTACATCCAAGGAAAGAACCTGTATATAACTTTTTCTATGTTGTATACAATGCATTTTCCATTTGCATCGTTCCCCCCGCTTGATCCCTGACTTTTTCAGGTTGATCAACTTAAGTCATACTCCTATATCTTAAGATAGGATCCCTTAGGATTCCAACATTAAACAACTTATTAAATCCAACCCTTTATTCTCTCCCACAAGAGAACTAGACGTGATTCATCTTCGCAGTCGAGATAATTCTCCTGCCCCATAATATAATCATGAGATGTAGAATCTTTTCCACTTGAGAGAGGTACGTGGCATATTCGTCGATAAAAATCCGAATGAGAACCCTTCTTTCAATGCGAAGTAAAGACTGTCTTCGATACGCTTGTGGAGGTTAAGTCGAGTATTCTTCTTTACATTCACGTCTTACCTTCTTAGTCTTTACTTTTCGTTTGTCCATTTAATAACAAAGCAAGAATGAAACAATGATAAAGGAACTAACATAATGGTTGTAATTGTAAAAGTGATTTTCCAATGAAGGAAAGAAAACAACATTTTTTCCTATACATTTTTACAAGTTTTCGCTTGATCGAAAAACAAATTAAGAAAACCAATCCCTGTTTGATTTCTTCTTGAGTGAAGCCAACAATAGATGAGGTAGGTAGGGGTGGCAAAATAAATGAATATGAATTGGATTGTTAGTAGATGGATCAAAATAATCCATTTATCTATTAACAATCCATTAAAGATTCTTCAAAAATATTCAATACAATCCATCCATTAATGATAAAATCGATCTGATCCATCAATTAATCTCTTTTTAATAGATGGATATTCATCCATCCATTAAAAAATGTGATAAATTTTAAATTTTATAAAAACTATTTTTTAAAATAAATATTTTTCAATAGTTTTTCTCTCTCTCACTCAAAATCCATAACCATAGTCTATTAAATATTTGTTTTATTAATTTTTATTTTATCTATTAAATTTTTCTCTCTCACTAAAAAAAATAATCAAATATAATAATTTATTTTCTTCACCAAAATTAACTTGCAGTAATACAAATAATTACCTTGCAATAATTAACGGGAAATACTACAAACAAATAACAACTTAATTAATAACTAATGTACAGTAATACCAATGAGGAATCAATATGTATAAACTAATGATAAATGACACTAACTGAAAAATATTGTTTGGAAATTAAATAAAATTTAGACGGTAAAATTATTAATCTCACCTGAATTATTAAAATTAACTCTCCAATAGAAAAAGTTTTTAATAAACTCTCATTGCTATATTTTGAATCATACTGCTAAAAAGATCATCTAAAGCAAAATTTAAAAACAGTAAAACTGGAGCATAAAAATACATATGTGAAATTATTATTTTTAGAGTAAAATTTATTTTCAGAAAATAAAAGAGAAAGATTTTTTAAAAATTATAATTTTTTTTACAAAAATATAAGAGAAAGAAAAATTGTGTGTTTTTTTAATTATTTGTTTAGATATATATTTTTTGAAATAATAAAATAGTTTTTGTTATAAAATGATCCAATGGATTTGAAAATTTTAGTGGATGGATTGGTTCAATCCATGAATCTAATGGGATGGATTGAGTCCAATTTTAGTGGATGGATTGGTTCAATCCATGAATCTAATGGGATGGATTGAGTTCAATCCATTAATTAATTTGATGGGTAATTGGGATGGATTGAGTCCAATTTTAGTGGATGGATTGGTTCAATCCATGAATCTAATGGGATGGATTGAGTCCAATCCATTAATTAATTTGATGGGTAATGGATAAATTAGATGAATTTTTATTTAATAGATTCAATTGTCACCCTAGATGTAGGTTTTGGAGATCTTAGATATATACAAATTTACAGGTCAAATGACCCAAAACCAAGCTATAATAGACCCGGAAGCAAGACCAACAACTAAGAATAACACACTCACAATCCCTGCAGTCTCTGCATCCTGTAACTTCACAGTTTTAGGAGCTAAAATCATCAACACGCTCGTAAGATATCCATTTGTAAGCCCTAAAACACAAGTCAATATTGTGACAGGAATCTCTGTCCGGAAGAATTTCGGACCATGCAAGCACCCTAAAAAGAGTGGGAAAAACAACAGTCGTGCTACGCAACATCCTATAGCCATTTTTGCATTCTCTAGAAGGTATACTGCAGTAAAGCTTTTGCCAACAAGGTCAAACACATTAAAGCAAGTGATAAGGAGAATCGGATACCAATCCTTGAGAAGTTCAGAGTGGACATCTTCAGTAATGTAGCCAGGAAATATCGCAAGAGTCACAACATAAATGAGTATTAAGCCAAATCCATACCACTTGATTGTTCCAACAGTTTCCCATACACTCGACCTCCATACGGATCCAGTCAAAGGACCGTTGTCGTCTTCCACTGCAACTGCCTGAATCTTAACTTCATCATAGTACTTCATAATGGGAAGTTTGTTGCTAGACTGTATAAAACCATGCATATGAACATAATCACAATTGATACACCAAAGTAGAGATTTGCACTCTTTTGCAAGCCGGAGACATCTTGTGTGTAAACAGCTTTTGTAAATATCCTTAGGAAAGAAACAACCACACCTGATGTGAAAAAAAAAACATACATAATGTGAAGAGAAAAAACATTTTACCTTTACAAGTTTCAATAAACAAAGGAACATATCAAGTACTGGTATCAAAATGTCCTCACACATTTATTTCCATTCAAATCTTAATCCAGCATATTAATTTGCTCAAGCTTTAGCAGACAAAAGAGTAACATGAAAGAAGAACATGATGTCGTAATGGGTTCTGCCTAATTGGTCAGTATTGCCAAATTAAGGTCACTTGACAGAGAACATATAAAAAAAATGAAGACTGAATGCTAATTACAGTAAGAGGAATACCTAATAGTTTCAACCCTACCATTCTCACATCATATATAATCTATGAAGCACAAACACAACTACTAGACGCGACATTGACACCGAGAATAATTTGAGAAAAATGGGAATTATTGACTATAACCACGTGATTCTTTGTCGTGTTGGTGTCTGCCCGACAAATGTTAAATACTAGACACTCCTTCAGATTGGTGCTTCATTGACTGAATGCTGATTACAATCAGAGGAATGCCAAATAGTTTTTCCCACTCCCATTCTCCCGTCAAATGTGATATATGAAGCACACACAGAGAAACAGCCATCACACCCGACACTAACAAAACATAGACACATTGAATATAACCACCACATGTATCTTTATTGTATCAGAAATTACATAATC